TACAAAAGATGTACCATGGGCGAGAGTAGCCTCTCCTCACTGGCGTTCATGCATATCAAGTAAGAAATGCCTATCGATCTGGAAGAAATTTTCATGTCAATTTATTTGAAAGCCTCCACCCGAGGATGATGCAATTGCAGAGTTTGTTTTGCGAAAGGAATAGCCCTGTTGTGAATTAATAATTAAGTGGCCCATGTTGTGGCCCAAGTATATCCTAGTGACCCGGTATCATATGTTGTCAAAATAATCCACCCATTTAAGATATTTCCTTAATAGGCGTTCCGGATTTGACAAACGGAGTCTCGAACAACGAAAGGCTGGGAATACGATTTTCGGGGACCTAGGTGATACGTGTTTAATACATATTGACGTTTGACGCTGCTTTCAGTACAAAGACAGCGGAGCCGGGAAACTGGGGGGCTTAAGCTTTTGCTCCGAGATACCTTACAGCACACGTCTTAGTTTTGAAGAACGTTTCGTGTACTTTATAATAGCCGGTATGTATCACTATGTATGAATGTTCCAAGGTCAAACGGAAATATTGCTGTTATGACTAAAAATACCTGTCATTTTAGACTTGATCGAGTTTGAAATATTCACGTGGAGACTACTGAAAATATCCGGGAGATTTCAGACTCTAATCTGGAGACCAGCAGAAATGGCTTAAAATCTGGAGTCTCCAGGGTTATCTGGGAGAGTTGACAGCCCTGCCTAGGAGATGAAGAGCAAGAAAACCAGGAGAGAATTTAAGGATACAGCCTACAATTGTAGGTGAGAAGGAGGTGGGACATGAGAGACAGGAGCGTCATCTTTGAGTGAAGAGGGTGGAGCCAGGACGGACAGAATGGAGTGCAGTAGTGAATACTGGGTAACAAGAGAGTGGGATCTAGATGAGGAGGGGATGGGGAGGACAAAAAGGTGAGTATGAGCTAACAAGGAAAGAGGTACATCAGCGATGATGTCATCGATAGAATCTACAAAGTGCACCCAGGCAAGCGAGAAAAACAGAAGACCCTTGATTATCGCAGAAAGAGAGACCATCTTCAGAGGAACTAATGAATGTAGGAAAACGAGGTCATCAAATTAACGATTAAACAAAAATTTAAGGTTGTGGAACGCAAGGATGTAAAAGCTCTGCATCCATGCACCAGCGATGAGTTAAAAAGGCTAAGCATGCATACTCGAAATTTCGTAACTATTGCAGACCTGCCAACTCTCACGGTTCTGCCGTGAGTCTCACGATTTTTTGTCATTTCTCACGGTCTCACGACAAGGCTCCTCAATCTCACGGGTTTTGGGAAAAATCATTCTGAAATGATTTAAGTTGTTGAATCAGAATAAAAATGGGAAATTAACGAGGAATGCTTGTGCCATAAAGTGAAAAACTTTTTTTACTTTTTTGTACCCAGCTGTGATTTTCGCTTGTGTTCAATAAACTTAATCGTTTTTCTTCGTGTCTGTCCGCCATTTTGAAAGGGGAGTAGGCCCTGGGAACGAGGTCTAATTCCCAGGCGTCTCCCATGTTGAGTTTCCCAGTAGTCTTTGTAAGTTCAGCGCGGGAAAGCGATCGCAATTGTATAAATATGGCGAAAAGAGGTGGTGATTTTTCAATAGAAGATTCGAATTCTGACAATGAAACGGACCGGGAAGAACCTACAACAGGGAACACAAATAAAACATTTAAATAAACTGTTAATGACTTTCCTGGATGGAAAAGGGGTTTGCTTAATCTTGATCGGGAAAAAAAATAGAATCTCACTATTTTTTATAGAATCTCCAGATTTTTTTTCGTGGGTCTCCAGATTTTCCTTTATCAGGGGTTGGCAGGTCTGCTATTGCCTCATGAATTATTTAAAGCGAACCGTTTGTTCTCTGAATTAAAACGTTACACATACAAAATTCAGTCTTACCTAGCAAAAGACAAATAAAACGCCAGTAAAAATTCTTTTCGTCCGTAGCTTTTAGCATGGCAAAGAAAACATGGATACCTCCAAGATTTAAGAATGAGCTGCATTGTGGGATTGTAGCTGGGGGGCGTGGGGTGGAGTCATGTGTCCCAGCCCGCGCTGGATACTCATGGCCTTGATTACAATGTCGTGCAGTTGGCGATCGCGGGTAACGTGCGCATTTATTTTTTAAATGGATAGACAGGGCCACAGTAGAAAACGAAGTTACCGGATTCTGATGGACCGCTAGTCAGCAAAGTTAGGGAGCTTACGCAACGACTGCGACGGGAACAGCAACGCGAACGGCAAAAAGGAATAGGTTTAGATTAGAAAAACAACAACTTTGCACGTGCATCACTCTTCTTCAGAAACAGCGAAATATTTTAAATGAGCAATAAACAGGATCACACCGGATAGCAACCCGGAGCGAGCAGCTCCCTTACTAGGCCTATGTCACGGCATTTTCACGGACCAGTTTATTTTTAAACACACTTAAAGGAGCTGTGTCACGAAATTCAGTCAAATTAGGCAATTTCAAAATGCCCGTTAAATTAAGAGAAACCTAAAAATGACCGCTTAAAACTTTAAAGGAAGGTTAAAATAAAATAACAGAAACAACAGATGCCACGGATGGGCAAAACTGAAGAAGACTGAAACGGATTGAAATTAGGGTTTTTGTAAACTGTTCAGCCCAATGGTTTTTCAAAGTTGATCGCTGCTTCTCGCAACTTCAAAAATAATGCTCAGGAGACATATTTGTTTGTCTCGGATCCCTGATCTTGTCATTAACATGTAATTTCTTTGCTTATACTTTAAGTTCCATAGCGACTGAGGGCGAGTAATTGGCAAAATTAAACAAAATGAACTGGACTGCCGTGACACTGCCCCTTTAAGGGCACTTTTTCCCGCGAAAAGAGAATGTTCACCAAGTCTATCAGCTCGACTCGTAGGCAAGACTACGGATGACGCGTAAGTGCAAGGCACGCGAAAATATGAGCACGTGAACTAAGAAAGGGTTTCCTCCCGTTTTGTTTGCGTATTCGCGCCTTCTCAATTTCGCAGACCCGACTATCTCGGAGCCTGGAAGAAGCTACTGGAACCACTAAACGCCGAAACATTTAAGATCGTTTTATGACCTAGCAGGGTCACCGACCCTTTGAAGTTTATTCCCGGTAGCCAATAGGAAACCGCCATGCTAACAAAAGCCTAATGCACTGACAAGTTAATAATTATATTGTACCCCTCTTTGTTAATGGCTTGCTATTAAAGATATTCAGATCGTGCGCTTCCATCATTTTCAATAAAGAGTCACTGACAGAGGTTCTTTGCAAAAACTGACTCTTTCACTGTGCAAAACCGGACAGGAGAATTAAAGCGAAATAGAGTTCAACAATATGTCAGCCGTTATTCCTTCAGGAAAAAGCAGCAAGGATTTGCAAACGCAGCGCATCTTCGTGGAACAACTGCGTCGCGAACTCACAGTTCAAAGAGTGAAACTCTCAATATGCGTCAATGAACTGATACAGTACTGTGAGCAACAAGGAAATGTGGATCCTTTAGTCAGCCCCAAAGCTTCTCACGATAACCCGTTCCGCAACTCTGGCGGTAAATGTGTCTTATTCTGAAACTGCTTTATTCTGAGAGCTGTCTCATGAGTTAGCATCCATCTCCAGGAATTCTCAGTTATCATGGAACATTTTTTGAATGTGAAGAACAAAGAATATCGTTCTCTTCACCATTTTTGTCTGTGGATTTAATTTTCTTGTAGCGCTGGTTCTTTCCCTTCTCCTCCTCCTGCATGCATGATTTGAACGACTGTTTTACTTTGAAGCTAATTGACAAGAATTGTAGTAATCCAACGTACAGTGCTGTTGTTATAAACCTGTTCAAGTTGACTATCATATTTGAAGCTGTAGACAAACTTTTTTAGAGCAACCATTACTCGGAAATCGAAACTTATGAACATCTAGGAGCTTTGTATTGTTTTTCTGTATAACAGAGAAGCTGAACTTCAAGTTGCAACTATCTACGCCTGTAAAAATTCTTCTTTGTCTTCGTTGTATTGATTATCTTAGGCCAGGAAAAGCAATATGCAAAGAAAGATTGTTGACAATTGGATCCTTTGGCATGCTACATTTGCATCGATCTCCGATCTACTGAATGCCAGTGAGATCGACTATTGTACGAGATGTCACAGCAAAGGAGCAAAGCGATAATGGTCAATCGAAAGCGATTCAGTCTAGTTCCACGTCACCACTTTTTACTTAATTATGTGAGATTTGGTTCCTTTTTTCAGGAGTGAGCTTTTGAATTGGAAAAGATTCAAAATAGACCGAGCGAAACTGATTTTACCATGATCAGGCTCAGTTGCTCACCCGGCGAAGTGATGATTGTGAAAAGTTAATTTAAACTGAATCAGTTTGTATACTAAAGTCAACTTCCATTAAAAAAGAAAAGAAAAGAACAGAGGGGTCCTCTTGTATTAACTCTAAAAATGTGGTTTTGTTTTTTTTTTGGTTGACTGCAGTAAGAAGGATTTTCTGAAAGCAAAACTTATTCGTGTTCGGTAAGTTGTTCTTAGTTCCTTGAGTATTCGAGTTATGCGGATAGAAGTGCTTAATTCAAGAGCAAACAATTACACGTCCTTTTATTTACAGGAAGGTATTAGTATGTACACACAATAGAGGTATTTGTTTTCTTTGTTGCTCACTTCTTACATTCTAAAGATATGCAAATCTATAGTCGCGTCTTTGCATGATTAAAAGGGCAGTAGGGTCCAAACCTATGCTTACCTTTGAAGCTACTTTAGCCTGTAGGACAGACATCAACGGGGAAAAAAAATAACTTTAAGCCATTCTTCAGCTATATATAGATCCAACTTTATGTGTTTCTTCAGGGGTAATAATAGGGAGCTTAAGCAACCGACGTTTATTACTTTAACGTACGTCAAATGTCAGTTACTGCTTTCCTGCTCGGGTGGAGTTGCTGTGCCCGGGGTACTTTAAAGACGTCCACGAGGGGCGAACCGCCAGTACACAGGCCAACTGTCAGTTGCAACTTTTTCCCCATTAGTTGGTAGTGGTTCTGTCCCTTTTTTTGGCGGGGGGTGGGGGGAGTCGTCTCATAATATAATGCATGGTAAAGACAGTTAGCAAAAAAAATTTGAAGCGTCAAGGTATATTCGAAGGAAAAAGGCCCCTTCCACACAAAAATGGATACTCAAATGACATGCAGTTTCAAATTAAAATGAACAGATTCGTGTAGACGGGACCTAAGCTAAAAATCCTCCGGTTTGAGGCTATGTTCAAGTTTCAAGTTTTCAAGTTTATTTATTTTATATAAAAACTATTACAATCCGAAATCTGACTGACTTGCAGGTAGCTAAAACTAATCGAGGCAGGTCAGTCTCAAAAGTTTTAAAATATTACAGAAGTCAAAAAAAGACATTAACAAAGTAACAGTTTTCTTTAGATAAAAAGGAGAGAAATGTATTATTAACGTGGTTCCACATTAAACCAAAAAAGGAAAGTAATATTAGGAAAACAAGTAACAAACTACTATGATGATAGGTACTAGATATATATAGAGAGAAGAGTTGTAAGTTAATATGATTTTTTAAGTCTGGCCATGATTTTGTCGTTATCTATACAGTTGACCGTTCGATCGTTTTTTAGTATTTAATAAAGCTCCTTTACGTTTTTTTTCTGAAGGTCTTCTTTGATATGTTTTTAAAGTTATTTGGCATCTCATTCCATATCTTTGCGCCAACACGAGAGTCTAAATTTTTTTACGTAGAAATTTTATGAAGCTGATGAGCGTGTAGAGTAGGGAAGTGAATTTGATGTCCTTGAAAAGTTCAAAATATTTATCGGTGCATTTCTTTCGTCTATGTGGTGCATTAAGTTTAAGACGGATTCAAACTTTAGAGTTTACGAAAAAACGAATAGCATGATCTTGTCTGTTTGCAGAATAAATTAAGCGTAGTGCACGTTTTTGCAGGTTGAGTATTTTGTCGATCATACGTTTTACAGGCGTTTCCCTAAGAGATAAGACCATAGGTTAAGGAAGGTGTTACCAGTGCATTGCAAATGTTCACAAGAACAGAAGAAGGTACAAATTTGTGTCTTAATTAAGATAGCATACCATTACTTATCTTAGTGGCCGACTGTGCATGACAATATGTTTTCTCCAAGAAAGATTCTCATCTATTGAGACTCCAAGATAATTTATGCAATCTTTTTCTGTAGGGCCGGAAAATGACATAGTTAGATTTTTTAGCATTTAATGTTATGTTATTTGCATGAGTCAATAGTATCTTTCGTAAGTTTTTGACAGCGTAAAGGATATTAAGATGGAATCCACCATGAAATTGAGTTATTTAAATTTTCAGTGGACAAAAATCTTGTACCAGAATAATTTAAAATATATTGCATTCTTTTTTACATTTTTCAAGACCTAAAGATGTAATAAATCATCTGTAATAACACCAAAGAAAATTTATTATGAGAGCCCGAGAAAATGAATGTCAAATTTCACAAAATTACATCTTTCACATGAAATTTACAGATATTTACCTGTGTTTTCACAATTCTTGTGAAATTTGACCTTCATTTTCTCGGACTCCCTTGAGAAATTTTCTTTGATGATGACTAATAACATCTTTAGGCCTAAAAAAATGTAAAAAAAAATGCAATATTCTTTAAATTATTCTGGTACAAGGTTTTTGTCCACTGAGGATTAAAATTACTCAATTTCCTAGTGAATTCCCTCTTAATTTCTTTCTTTTTGAAAAAGAAAGAAATTAAATTTTTTAAAGCAAAAATGAACATCATTTATGTAAAGTAAAAAAGAAGGGGTCACATTTTACCGGATAGCTTTTGCGCTAGCCTGCGTAGCAGGCGCTTGGAGGTAGTGGGCACAAGAAAAAACGGGCGCGCGGGAAGGAGACAGGCGGGGCTCACGTGTCTCCCTTGCGTGCGCTCGTTCTCTCTTTCGCCCACTACTTCCAAGCACCTGCTACGCAGGCTACTTTTGCGCCGACATGAAAACCATAAAGGTAGGCGGGGCTTGTCTGTTCACATAAGAACGGTGATTTCGGTTGCGATTTCTGTAACTGAGCGTAGCTGCGCCGCGCTGACCTCAGACTAAAGCTGATATTACGAGGGACGATTAGCAACGACGATTTCTAGCACTACACAGCGTTGCAATATCGGAACAATGTTGTAGCCATTCGAAACAATGTCGCAACAATTCTGCAACTCTATGTTGCGCTAAAAATCGTCGTTGCGAATCGTCTCGTGTAACGTCACCTTAAAGAGGAGAGTTAAATCAGATCGGTGTTCATACTATACAGGATACTGGACTACACCGGATGCTATCCGGTATCATCCTGCTCATTATTCATTCAAAATATTTCGCCGTTTCTGATTGGCTCCATTCCCTCGGCTAATTTTTCATAACCAACGGGCGCTTACCATTAGAACCTTTATCCGTCCTGGAAGAAGCGAGCAACTTACCAAATGCAACGATTCGATGGTATATTTGATTGAAAACGGGGCTTCATGGGCAATAGACCATTGACCAAAATGGCTTTTACTGCTATCTGAAGACGAAATAGATGAATTTCTGACTAAAACTGAACGAAAGAAATGCAAAAGTGCGCAAAACGTATTGCTCGATCTGAATGTGATCTACTTTTTTAAGAAGTGTCTACAAGATATAGCACATGTTTGCGCCGAGAAATGGGCCAAAGTTTAGTACAAATGTAGCAAGTCTACGAGGAGGTAAGCTTGTTAAGAATTTTTAAATGAATTAATAATAAAACAATTATTGAATTCGGCGGCTTTCCGTCGAACGATGTGAAGAATTATGCAGATCTAGGATGATGTTATCAACCTCGGCCTTCAACCTCGGTGGATCTCTGACATCATCATCGATGATATAATTCTTCGCATCCTGTTCAATGCTCATTCAATAATTGCTAAATAAATGTGAACATAGCCTAAACCTCAAGAATTCAAGAGCGAGGTGTGCGTTTTATGCTAATTTGTATGAATATTTACAGGAACGATATTCTGGCGAACTACTGCCCACTGACATATCATTTTAGAAATTAAGAAATAACATCATACAACAATTATCGTAACTTTACCCATACGGACACTGCAATTTTACTGATCATGAGGAGTCGAACTGTGGCCACTATCACAGAGCCTTGGTTACCACCTCTGTTGTCCGATGCACTTTTACGCTTTTCTTTATTCATGTTTCCGACAACCTTCTTTTTCAAAATAGCTGTATATACGTGGCGTATAAGGTGTCTTGAAGTAACGAATACACCGTTAAATCAAACCGAACTTTATGACCTCAAAGAATTTTTTCATTGTTCGTTTTAATTAAGATAAATGCTTCAGAGGCTGTAAGAATTATTTCAGTTGTGTACAACGCAGAAAAGGAGAAAGGATTGCAAGCCAGAGCCAAAGGGGATCATTGAAGAAAGGAAGCCTGAGCTCTTCAAATGACGTAGAAAAATAAACATTACAGCAGCCAGTACGTCAGAATTCTCGCACTCGAAGAAAGCCTTTTGTATAATATTTCTACCGTATATATTTTTTAGAAAGTTGCGATACGTCCTCTTAGGGATTTCTATAATTTATTGATACAGATATAGATGTTAATGTGGATTCCGAAGTAGATGTGTCCAAGGATTTCAATAATAATCTCCTCAGTTTATGATTGAGGGAAAATTCCGTTTTCATTTGACCAATTAGAAGCTCAGCACGTGATCAATACCTTTTATGGCATGATTGCGACCAATAAAAATCAGTCGGCAAGTTCTAACGACGCTGGTCATTTTAGGGGATCAAACTACCATAAATTGGGTTGTTTGAGGCGATTCCAGGATTGTTTCAGAGCTGAGTCCGGAACAGGCAGAAAAATGAAAAGGAGAGCGATCCGCATAGCATTTTTCTTAGCATTTTTGGTCTTGTTGTCCCTTGTCCAGGAAAGCCACGAAATCACAGGAATTTTGATTCCTCGCCGTATTCCAAAATGCCGTCGAGCAACCCACAGGAGAAAAGTTCGTTCCTGCCGCCGTGGAACGATCAAGTCTTTGGTTCCCGTTTTCGTGTTCACTGAGTCCGAAATCGAAAGACAAAAGTTTTTGAGGTAGGTAGCAAATATTTCACAAGTATATTTTGTACTCTTGACGCCGGATTGCGGTGAAACGAGAATCCAGCTTACCCCTGGATTTTACACCGTTTTATCAAACTCTTAAACGCTTTGCCCTGGCTAAAGCAAGTCCTTTGTCTCCTTCGATGCGGTGGCAAGCAGCACATTCAAAAATTAGAAGACATACTGATCCAACTTCTCTGATTCTCTCTAGAGCAATCCAATTTTATTTATTTGAGAATCGCGCGAGAACTAAAGGCAGGTTGATACTGGTGGAAGCGATAAGCCAAAAGAGGAGAGCTATTTACGGTGGCCATTTAATTTCGTCCATTCAACTCCTCTCTCTCTTTAAGGACTGAGTTTTTTCAACAAAATGCGATAAATTTTTTTAAAATTCTTTAAGAGGACATTCACCCCATCTGATAGACTGCTAGCGGTCCATCGGGATATCGTTGTGCAGGCAAGCATGTTGCTTGAAAGCGAGCGAGACGAGGGAAGGACGAAAAAGCAGGAGGGAGTACAATCTCTTTTATGTAACCGACACTTTCACATGCACCTGACTCAGTCTGTTGCCGTTATTTTCATACGCGCGCTCGACGATCTCTAATGAGAAGAATGGGGTCTGTGAGCAGCCTAAACGTGTGAACCAGTTAAATACATACTTGTGTTGTGAACCTCGTAACTTCTGTTGCCGTTAGTTATTAGGCTGATTTAGGAACAGAACGGGAACGTCAGTTGACGACGGCGCGCGCAAATCAAACAACTGGCTTGACCAATGGCGGAGCGGAAAATTGGGTACCGGAAGTTGAGATTAGTCCTTTCCGCGCGCTTTCCCGTCGTCAAATGACGTTCCTATTCTGTTCCTAATTCAGCCTATTGTTGTGAATTATTTGCAACGCTTTTCTTCGACGTTTAAAAAATAACGCGCTCGCGAGTTTTTCGTGCGTCAAAATACTCCAAAATATGTGCCACCATTGATAATCTGACTTTGCTCACTCAGAAAGCCGCTTTGTTTTCAGTTTCATAGGAGATTACAGACAGTTCCTCCCTCTCCTTTCGTCTTCTCCCTCGTTCCTCGCGCCTTTCATCAATCTCGCTCGCACATCATGCCCACCCACGCGGCACTGACGAACTGTCAGTATCTGAAGTTGATCCTTTTTAGGCTCGACTCACACTTGCTGCTATCCAAACTTCGACGAGTTTTCTTTGTTTCCTAACCCCTATATATATAGCCATATTAGTCTTGGCGACTGACAGCGGCATCAAAATTTGCATGATGCACCTCATCACCCTAATTTTTCGGTCAAAAGAGCCTCTGAAGTTCCGCTAAAATGCCAACCAATGAAAATTTAGCGTCACTGGTGAAAGGATCTTTTATCCCGTTTCTTGACGTTTCCCAAAGCAGAATTTGAGTTTAATACCAGAGTACGGATCGAGTTGGGAAAAAAATTGTCCAATTTTACCTAACTTCGCAATGGAAAATTGTCGATTAATCGAAAAACGTTACTCCTGATTTGACGACATTCAGGCTTTTTTAAAATACAGAGAAGTGTGACGTCACGTCGACAGAGACAGTCATTTGCATTGTCGAACGATGAAAAAAGAGTATTCGCTGCTGTTTTGTTCCTGAGTGCAATCACGCACAGGAAAGTCATACATCCGCAATTTTTTATTATCATCTCTGCCATATTTACAGGACCACGGATTGTTGAGATCCGCATTATGACAACGTGACGTAACGACTTCTCCTTCTCTATTCTCGTTAAAATGTTACACTGTATAAATTCATAAGAACTGTTACACTCCAAATCCATGATGGATATTTGTGATTCAGCCTGTTGTCGTGTAGAGCCATTTTAGCACAATTTGAACCAAACCAGTCCTGTCAAAGAATTATATATTTCAGCGCCTATTTTGGTGTTCATCAACATAGCCATCCTTATTAGATCCTTCTACATCTTTCTCGCAGAAACAGCCTCAGTGTATTAACGTTTGTAAAAAGGACTTGCATTTCGGTCAGCAGGCACAGGTATTTTCATTTCAATAGCACTATGGCCCTCACCGATCAAATGAATAGTGTCTCGGCATTCGTGGCAGCAGCATAAAAATATGGACCCTTTATTATCTGATATGAAAAACGAAAAACTCGGTAGCTGCCTGAAACAGACACAAAAACACATTTTAATAACTGTCACTTTTGACGAGGAGAAGGCGTCACGTTGCCATGGTAGCTAAATTTATGGATCTCAACAGGCTGTGGTCCTACAAATATGGCAGGAAAAAACGATGCACTCAGAACAAAACGGTAGCAGATGCTTTCCTCCCATCGTTTTACAATGCAAATGTCCGTCTCTTTCCAGAAATATTGTTGAGATCCAGAAACCATGCTACCACACCTCTCTCTATTTTTGAAATCGTGCGGAAACGTTGGAACAAGCCAACTCATGCAAGCGCCATCCTATTATGATCTCTTAGCCAACTTTAAGGAATCAGGGTGCGTACGATCGATTGAATGTTAGAATAAGAAAACACGGACAGCAGATTGTCACAAATTTGTATTTAACGGGATTTAGGAGTGACTGGAATAATACATTTGCATCTGAACGTTATGTGCATCGTCAGCCTTAAAAGAAGATGTTACAATTTGTTATTATCAAAGTCCAAATAGGCGTTAAGTTATGCCATTCCTTTTTCTGTCCTGAATATTTCTTTCGATCGGAATGCTAGTTTCCTGAGTATTTTCATTCGCATTCAAGGAAGCAGAGGGCATGTTTATTTAGAAGACTCGTCGTTTCAACTGATACTTAACTGATCTCCAAAAATCCTACCCTCTGCTTTGATTGGCTAAGCTTTTCGTTGTAAGCCTAATCAAGACCTCGCTGTCTATTAAACGGTCGGCTATGACTTCTTGTTCGTTCGGTTTTCTGATACGAAGCCACAAAGTGATAACTGAACTTTGTGTCGTGCAATTTTAGCTAATTTTGGTCTGACATATATCATACTTGTGATTGAAAATCACGCGAATGATTTCAGATCAAATTGCTTTCCACTCAGTTCAATCTCCGTTATAAATCAACATGATAGTAAGGCGACTCCCTCAGCTTTGCAATTTCTTACATTATTCTTTGTCTTTCTTCCCTTTCTTTCTTTTTAAAGGAAAATCGAGAGGGCCGAAAACGCTGCAGAGAACATGGAAGACTTCTGGATGCAATAACCTGTTCTTTGGTCTTAAAATTTTCAGTTCAATTCAATTCAATTTTTGTTCACATTCTTATAAAATCCTACAATCTAAGAACAGATAGTAGGCAGAAATGTACTAACAAATTAAGGCGAGCTGAGCATGCAATGCCAAGAAATGTAAATCGCTTTTTGATTACGCTTCAACTGTACTGTGCTTTAGAATAAATGCTATTACAGTAAAATCATATACGATGGTTTTGGTGCTGTCATATTCAAATCAGTTGTCATTGGTATTTTTAAACCTTAAATGGCTCTGTATACAGTAGGCTAATTTAGCAACAGGACGGGAACGTCCGTTAACAACGAGAAAGCGCGCGGAAAGGACTAAACACGACTTCCGGTGCTCAATTTTCCGCTCCGCCATTGGTCAAGCCAGTTGTTTGATTTGCACGCGCCGTCGTCAACTGACGTTCCCGTTCTGTTGCTAAATCAGCCTAATATTGGACATTGGGGTTTGCTTGTATGCGCATTTTAACACCTTATTTTCTTGGAAGAGAAGAAGTAGAGCAGCTTTCTATTGAGTGCTGAAAATTTTAATCTTATATTCTGTTCGATAGAGCTCTGTGCAGTTGAGCCTTCAAAGCAATTTGGCGGCCATAGCTGTGGTTCTGCGTTATTCGCTATTATAGTATCTTATTGCACGCTATTCTTTAATTTTCAAATTGTAACGTCGTAGCTTAACCTTTTCATTATATGTAAGACCCTGAAGAAGCAAGGCCGTGCCTTCCGAAATATTGGCAAAATTATATATATATTCCCGACTGTAAAAAAAGCCTTGCCTCTTTTGTTTTTTATTCGGGTCATTATTGTTCAGTACGGCTTTCAACTAGCTCAAAATTTAAAAAACCAATCAGAAGCAAAACATACCCACAGAACGGAACATAAAGAGATTTCCTGGTAGGTTGTTAAACGGAGTTTAGCCGGAGCCATTTAAAGACCCGCGTGCTAAGTCACGGCCCGTGCTAAGTCAGGGCGGCGCGCGCAGAAGGAAGGACCTGGGGCCTTGTTCCCCACTTTTTGCGATAAAGAAAAACATACTTTTGCTAAGTTCTTCACTAAATAAGTTTTTTGATACTAGACTAAAGATCTCGTTTCTATTCCCGTCCACAAAAGGGAATTATAGAAAGTAGAGTAAAGATTAATATAGGTGAAAATTATGGTTAATGACTGGGAAGAAGTGAGTTTCTGTGCTACTTAATAATGCTTTTTCAACGTTCTTTGCGCCTGGAAACCAGAGGCGATTTCATTGGTGATTTTTGCGCGAGGTTGAGTTACCAAAACAGAGCTGAGGCGATTAAAGTTTTCTTTCCATGCACTCTATGGAACCGCTGAATGTCACAAAATTGCAGCTAAAATCGCCACTTAAATTAAATTCAGGAAGAGTCGCACAAAAGCCAGTAACCTTATCCTTCGATCACTGGGATCGACTTTAGAAAGCTTGCTCACATGACTATTTTATCTGCGTGATCTCTTCAAATTGCTTACCAGCAACAAAGACCAATACTAGCTAATTGTTCCTGTACTCACCGGGCTTAATTGATTATCAGTTTAGAATAATATTGAGATCGTTCGGATCGTACTGGCCAATCACATTTCAGCATGTCCTGGAGCGTATTAAGTGGTAGGTTTATCTTTTTTACTTAGCCTGAATTAGAAAGCTTAATAGTACAGGTTTCTTTTCCAATATCACTGATCCATCATAAGCAAACGTGATATAGCTACTGAATGGAATCTCCAACGAAGCGGGGTGGTTTTATGAAAGAACCTTTCAGCAAAAAAGTAACTTCATCCTTAAAATCTAGAATCGAGCCTCCTGCTAGAATTTAATCACTCTATAAATTGATTAATCATGTTCTTTTAGTTAGAAAAAAAAAAGAGAGAGACAGAACTCTTGAGCGCTAGAAACGGAGATCGGGTAAAAACAATTCCATGCTTCCAAGTTTAAATGACTTTCAAGATCTTGTAAACTATATTTAGTTATTTTATTTACTCGGAAACTATATCCAGATAAATTGATGATACGATATAACACCAGACGCTTTAGGGATTTTTAAAGGATGATATCAAAATGGATCAACGGCTCAACCATTTATTTTTTTATCGTAACACAGATGGCCTGATCTCTCCTAGCAGTTGTCTCCCAAACATTATCAGTTCAGTAAGGTTTTCATTGCCGTTTGACCTTTTCGCTCACTGCCTAGAATGACACGGTAAACATGCAGGTAAACAATATACTGTAATACAATATCAAGGGAATAATTGCTTATCCAAAGCCTCAAATCGCCCTTTAGAAAAATTCGTGAAGGAACTTTTTTACTGGGGAGTAAGACCTGTTAACTGAATTTTATGTCAAAGATCGTAAAAGGTCAGACTCAATCGCCTTTATTTGGACCTTTTGCATGCATGGCGACTACCATGTTCAGGCTCCACATTAGGTTATTGTTCTCTCCAATATCTTCAACAATGTCCCCGTTTGCACTTTCCCACTTAATTTGGAAATTTTCTTTGACAAACTTTCAAATTATGTACTCTTAATATGGGATGTAGTTTGCATTTTTACTGAATAGTTCATCTACGATGGCGAGCAAATTTCCTATTCCCGGCAGCCCCTCTCTGATGTACAAAGGCTAATGCCATGGTAAGGGGTATGGGCCGGGGGTATGGGAACAATTGGAATTCACGCCTATCAAGCCATACCTACCTCTCGATACTTCCACCATGTTTGCATGTCAGTATTTCATACAAAAAATCAAAAGTTACACGCTTATTGTACAGCATAGTAAACAGTACCTCACGAAAGTACCTTTCAGTGGCTTTATTCTATACACTCAACAGTTAGAACTACTTTGTACAGCATCCAAAGCCTCACCGTGGAAAGCATTGCTTATAGCCACTGTAGGAAGTAGGATTTCATTCACAAACTAGCCAAACAGCCGTTTTCAATTGAATGATCCCGTAACACTTAGGGTAATATTGTTAATTGAAAGTTAGAACCAACTTGTACAATGCAGCAGCCTCTATATATCCCAAAATGATGCTTAGTAGGTTTTTACTTTAATGGTGACTCTAAGGATTTTACTTTTCGACCACCTCAGTGAATTTAAACTGAACTGACGTTGCAATTGTGCAAATCAATAGTCACTCCGTCATGATAGTAAGGACTCGCAATATCACCTGCACACTGATCACCACTCCTGCGTGTTCTAGTACTGGCCCAATCGATCACTTACTGGGAATCGTGTAAAAGTAAGTGCTATTGTAATATTGACTCTGAAATTAAAACGAACATGCATAAGAATCGCGGGAAATATATTTTTTTAGAATTGCTTGTTTATTTTCCGATATTAGGAATATTATCCATTTTGCCTACAGTACGATATATAAATGGGAAAAAAGACAAAATCAAAACGAATGTGTGATGAATTAAAGCTCTCGACAACTTGAAGCGAACTTGGGCGTAGGTCATAGTTGAACAAAATGGAGCGCGGGTTCCTTATAGGATTTGTAATTATTCTCGCATTAACTTCCTTCTGTCACAGCTTATCGATATCGGATTTTGATGAAAATGACGAAAGTTTAGCGGACAGGAAACCTCTTTTGGAGAAACTTGGCATGGAAATGTACAGGTAAAAAAAGTAAAATAATAATGATTATTTTTTTCAATACTATCTTCACCTCTTCTTACCCTGGGTACCAGGGTTTCCTGCATGTGCTTGCCTTTATTATACTGTAGATGATAGTTACAGAGTTGACTCTGTTAACGAAAACCTACAATAAGACTAATGAATGTTTCCTGTCCTCACGGCATTGTTTATTACGATGTACAACTGAAGGTGCATGGACGTTCTAACTTTTACGTTTGGGGAAAAATTTTTTTCGAAAGCTACTGAGCATTTGAAGTATATTCTTGTCGGGTAAAGGTTATTACAATGTACAAGGTGGTTCAAACTTTGAGTCTTTGAATGAAATCCTTCAGTTGAAAGCCTAAAGGAGTAGATTCTTTTTGCTTTTGTTATAAAACTGTTCATAATTGCTAGGATGAAATTAAAACTATCAGAGACTAATACGTTATATTAAAAAGTGTTATTTTTGCAAGGTATTTCGAGTAATTTTAACGTACAAAGTAATCTTGAAATTGATAAAAAGTTAACGAAACCCCACCAAGTGTTTTAGATAAGTACAAACGAAAAGCAAGAACAAATAGAGTAAACTATAACCGAAGGATTTAGGATGGTTACGAGGGGGAAAGATTGAGGATTACAAATGTCCGAAACTTGAAAAACTAAATAACACTGACCTTTTTCAAGATACAGAAGCTGCGACTTAGTCCGAATAGTCTGGAGTGTTCACTTGTCGTTATGACGATTTAGGCTAATCAGTATGTAATATTTTGATCTAATATCAGGGATCCTCACTGGAGCCCGTACGGTAAAAAGCGATGCTACTGCAGATATGGATATGAAGGAAAAGGACCCATGAATCCGTGGGGAGGGGGATTTCCACCATTCGGACCGTTCCGACCGTTCCCACGGGTTAGGTATGGACCCCGTCGACGCCCTTCTCGTCGCAAGGGAAGCCAGACATCTGATGATGAAGCGGAATAGAAAGGTATGGCAATATATTTATGCCTCATTAAATGACTGTTAACAAACTTCATTGTGAATAATTATCAGGAAAATACGCTTGGAGGTAGGGATAATAGTTGGTGACTAGTTGGCAGGCACGAAGCAGTTTTCAGTAAGTGAAAGTTAGGAAAGTAATCAAACCATGCATAGGCTAAGAATTGCTTTTCTATGCTTCATTACGATAGGCCAAAAAATCTCGCTTTCTCAAGCAATCACGAGTAACAACAAAAAGCTAATCATTATTTGCTCATATTCATTTCCCGCGTTTGGCGCCTGATACATGTTCTCGCTTCGAGATGTGATTGGTTCATTTGATTGTCAACTCTAATTGTGATTGGTCAGAATAAAACTAAACGTGTCTCGCTTGCACATCACTTTCCCGCCCTTGGTTCTCACAACATTTGCCTCGAGAAATCATTGGATGGTTTACTTTATGGTTGTCAGCTCGTGTTTTATTTGGCCAAGGGTATAATCACGTTGTTGTCTTGAACCTCAGTTAAAATCGCTCTACAGTTGTCACTTGTACACCGTTCAAAGTCGTCATTTACATTTTATTTCTCACCAACATGACTTTTGCTCTAAGCATATTATGATCACTCTACTCTATATTAAACCCAGTGAAGGTAATTGATGGCGGAATATACAGCCAAAGTACCATGTATTTCCCTTCTTTCAGGTGAAAAGATGGTACGCCCTTCCTAAGTCAAGACACAGACACCTTTCCTGTAGAGAAGCCACGAAAACAGAATTGATTATGGGAAAGAATCATGGAAAATAAAATCATGTTTTGAAAAAATAAATGTAAAGCTTGGTGACTCTAGTAAGAATGTCGTACTGTAAAAGCCGGCTGAAAAAAAAAACGTTCTACGGCCATTGAAGATTAGAGACGGGTCTACAATTGATTCCAAGTTAGTTGACACAGATTAGGCTAAAAGACGAATTCTGGAGATGCACCCGTTTTGTAGGATGGGTAAATTCCAGTCCTCAACGGACAAAACCGCCCGCCTCTGGCGGGACTAAGCAAGGTGGCAAATTACATCCTGCACTTGAGGAAAAAATATCCCATTTAGCTGTACATGTCATACTCTCACTACGAGCAGTCTCTCTTTTTTCCTTAGTCCGTCGAGCGAAACGCGCGCGAGGAACGAAAATGACTGTCCTCGTTTCTCGTGTCTTCGCCGTTCGACGCTCCCGTTTGCGCGCACTCCCCTCGCTAAATCTGAAGAAAACGAGAGACTACTCGCAGTCTAATAAGACCCATTAGGCCACGCTAGACTTCAGTTAACTTAAACCTCATGTTGGGAGCGTTTTCCAAGGATATATAATTCTATTGAGACTCTTACTCGGATGTATATGGGATTCGAGTAGCTCCAAAATCCCAGCAAGAACGATGAATTGTGTACTCTTCAGAATGAAAATTGACTTTCCACTGTCAAAACTGATTTATAGCGACAAAAGTGGTCACCCAACATGAATTAAACGGACAAAATTCTATTATTCCTAAACCAACAGCTGATTGAGCGAAAATTACAGAAGCTGCTACGGCAAAAACACAAAAGATAAGGAAATACTAGATAAATGTCGGTATAGAATTCATTTCAGATTATTCAAACAACGAAGTCGGCTTTTTTGCTAGAATTGGCGCGTCTTTGAGCCTTCCGAGGAAACAAGTAAGAGGAAAACAGGAAATACACAAATAAGGCCAAAATGTTTGAATATTAGATTCGTTATCGTCTGCGTAAGAGAATTGTTTGGTCCTTGACGTCTTTGAAGGCAAGAAATTGAGAACGTTTATCTTCGCTGAAGCGAAATGAAATACCTGAATAAGGGTAAAGAGCTGACATTTTAAAGCAATTTATGTTCGTCTTGACAGCCCATTCCCCAGCCAATATAGATGTATAAAAAGAGCGAAATATGGATAAAATTGTGTTTGTTTTGCATTATGGAAAAATTAGCCACCAGGAGAGTACACTAAAAAGCAATATTCCCAATATACTCTATATTATATTGACAGGAAACGTGGGAATTTTACATTAATAAAGAAAACCGGAAAAAGAGAGGTTTTGAATAATGATGTTCAATAATCCGTTTGGATATAAGAAGTTTAGTGAAGTCAGCTGAGAACTGCAAGCCTGTTCGCTAAGCAGATAACGAGATGGATATGGTTTCTAGACACAATTTCCAGTTGAATTTACGTACAATTGGCGCGACACAAGATTATAAGTGATAAATTCTTTTCGTATAGCTCTTTTACGAGCCGCTCTAGCAGAGTCCTATTTGTTTCAATTTTAAAAGCTACATTAGATTTTTACTGAATGAATGCTTAAGACTGATTAAGAGGAATTTCAATTCCCGAATTAAATTTTTATATAATACTTTTTGCACAATTTAACTGCTTCGCGAGGGTTTTGTAATCTATCAACTACCGACAGGCCAAGAAAGGGTAATCGGACTTCTGGAGATGAACAGACTCATAACACCTGCCTTTTAAAAAATGTTTATCATCATGAATGGGTGAATGTATAAAGACATGCTCTCATTCACCGCAAGAGCTCTTGCAATTAACTACGGTACACAAACCCGAAAAAGCAATATCGCCGGCCTTGCATGTAAAATCCGAATAGATAAATGGTGCCTTAGCATATTTTATTTTGATTTGCTTTCATGATGGAGACTGTTAACCACTATGATTGCTTTGCAAAGTTGGTATCAGCTCCGTTTGTATGAACCTCTATCGAGGCGATACGCCTGAGACGTTTGTTTCTTCCTTTCATTTTGTGGGAGTTTTATTTGCTGTGAAGAGAAAAATTGAGTAAGGATGTAAACAATATTTAGTAAATGTAAATATTCTCTAAATGACAAATTTCTTTACTTTAAAACTGCTTCACACCCGAACAAAATTGTTCCACTAATGACGCCTTTGATAGTCCACGGTTTCCAATTACTAAGAACTGGTTTGGTACAGTTTAGCATAGCAGAAAACTATGAACATGCAGTAAAAACGAAAACCTATATTAGCTGCTTAGTATCTGCAAATTGCTTCCTTGTTTAGACCCTACTCCAACCCTCCCCCCCCCACCACCCTCAAATAAAAAAAAACTACCTACCTGCCACTTTCTCCCCCAACCTAACGTCAACACTAACGTTTCACTTAGTCCAAAATTTCAGAATTTCAGTTTATCGCAATCTAGTGTGACATCTGACGAGACATTTCAGGAAATTGAGAGACCTTTTATTAGAATTGTGACAGTTAATTCTAAACGGTTTTAGCAGTTTGTTAAGGCTATCTCAGTATTAAATTGCCTTGAAGTAGGCAAAGAGAGAGAGAGAGAGATCAAGAAACGCTATTTTTAAAAAAGAGTTCTTTTATCCCCCTTGTTTTTTTACCTGGCTCGTTTTTCAAGTTCGTAACGCTATTTCAAACGACGTCAAGCGAAGATTATCATTGACTTCAAGATTAAATCCCACCAAAAAGTAGCTAGACTTTTGAACTCCACAAGATTATTAATATTAAATTTCAAGATTATAAAAGAATGTCTCGTATCACTAAGTGCAATTGCCTTACGAGAGATGTTTATCTGTGCAAAAGGAGAACATTTTCGGCCCAAGCTAATCGTCGCTTTTCGGGGGTTCGTTTGAGTATAGAAGTGTTAAATTTTCACATTTAATAAAGAACTTACATCCTGAATACTCTTAAGCCAATTAACAACTTTCTGCCCGTCTTTTTTCGTAGAAATGATTTTTCAAATAACCTTCATCTGTGTCGCCGATTTACACATCGGCGGTGAAAGTCGCAGGAATAAAATGAACAGGCGTTTGAAAAGACATCACAAACATGTCTTAGGTTTAAACAAACAACTATCGCAGGACAATTCCACGGCAAATATTGAGTCACATCTCCGCTAAAGATATACAGTGGAAAGCTTCGGTCCGCGACTTTCCCGATAAACCATCGATAAACTCCTGCCCGTATCGACAGCGTTGTGTCTAAAAAATAACTTCTTGAAGCCTTCTCGATAGTTTGAACTTCGAAACGCGTACAGAATTGGATTCAAACATGAGCTTGAAGCAACAAGCAATTCGAACACTCGTAGTAACACTGATAGAATTTCTTGTTGGAATATTAGTTTTCTGCGGTCTTGCAGAGAGATGTATAAAATAAATGTGCCGTATGGCAAATACAGCACATAGAAAGCCGCTGTTACGCTAATAAGGAGCTTTGCAAGTCGCCTTTTGGTTCGTTGGTCTTCTCTTACCGAAGGCGCTCGCGAACAAACAGTATTCTTGAAAAACAAACCACGGATAATCTGAAAATAACAATACGCAAGGATCGTGAAAGGCACAAAGCCAAGGAATGTTATGGTGCATACCACATGTACCCGTAATGCCGAAGCAAGTTCCAAACTAAACGGACACAAGCATCTCCCGTAATGCACGCTGTACTGGTTTTCGGCGAAGTCGGGCAGGCAAATTAAAATAGCGGCCAGCCATATACAGCAGATAACATATTTAACACGTTCGCGGGTTAATCGAAGTTCAGTTTGCATTGGTTTCATCAAAGCGTGATACCGCTCGGTTGCAAGAAGAGTCAGTGTGAGTATAGAGCTTGCAATTGCTACACTGATAATCGCATTCCCAGTGAAAATCTTGCAGATGTAGTCTCCCAAAGTTCCCATCGGATGAATGGGGTAAAACGCGAAACTATAAGTTCTCGGACACCAAAGCAAAGTAATTACATCGCTGACGGCCAAATTGACAAGTAGAAAATTCGTCGTTGTATGCATTGATCTATTTTTCCGAACTACAATTATAACCAGGCTATTTCCAATAAGACCGACTGTTACCACAAACGCGTATAAAACCGCAAAAACTATATCGATCGTCCCAACTGAATACGTCTTAAAATCAAGAGCGGAGCTCGACTCGTTGCCACTTCCAGACATTTTTTCCGTTCTTGAACAGATTTACTCGAAGAACAGCCAAGATTGGGATCAGAGTTTTTGGCGTGGCGAAAAAGTCAGTTAATCTTTCTCTGGACCGAACTTAATTCAATTTGGTCTCTTCTCCTGTTTGAATTCAAGTCGAGATTGAACACGAGCTGTCTTGACAGTTTACGACTTGTGGTATAGTACACAACTTGAAAGTAGCTGGACAACAGCTGTGTTTGAAAATCGAGTCTGATAAAGTTCCGCTGCAATAAATTACCGAATATTTCAATTGGCCTATGACACGATTGTTCTGTCACGTGACCTAATCCCTTAAAGGGGTGAACGACACTATTAACAAGATTAGAATTTTCTAGCCCACTTTACAGACGTTAACATAAGGCACAGAACAACTACTAAATGGTTAAAATTTTTCTATAATTGTCATTCTGATTGCTTGACAGTCGAACTGCCATTCCTTCCGTCTAGATCTATCTATCTCTTAATTCCCAAATATCCTGTTTCGTTTGCTAGAAAAAACTAAAAGGAGCTGTGACACGAATCAAAATTCAAAGAGTGGGAGCTAATTTTCCCTCTATCCCTCCTGTACGCCATTAATTACACTGACTACCGGTGCAGGCGCGCCTGCATTTTACGGATTCTTTTATTAGCTTTCAAAGCCATTCATGGTCTTGCACCTGCATATATCAGTGATCTTCTGGCCTTTGAAGCAAGTCCCCCAACAATCTTAGATCCAACTCGGGCATTTTATCACAGCCACCCAAGGGTAAAGTGCTAGAAACTCTGGACAAGCGTACATTCCAGGCGGCGGCGCCACATTTTTGGAATGAGCTGCCTTAACAACTACGCAATATACAATCTCTGGAAACTTTTAAAAATTCAATTAAGACATTCCTTTTTAAACAATTTTTTGAGAAGGGAATTTTTTGATACTAGTACAGATAATATGAGTTACGAGTTATTATATTATTAGGCGTTAGGTTTTGTTTTATGAGTTTTGCGCTTAACTATTTTAATATTTTACAGGTACTTTAACAATCAATGTAAAGTGCTCCTGGTCTGTGTGTAACTAGCGCCATATAGCGCTACAGAAATAATAAATTTATTATCATTTTATTAACCGCCACCATATTCTGAATGAACTTTAAATATAACTGCTCAAAAGATGAAAGTAAGGTATAAAAAACACAGCCAATAAAAAGGAAACAACGGATGGACAAACTTGAAGAAGATTGAAACGGATTGCAAATCAGTGTGGTTTTGGAAAACTTGTTAGTCTAACAGTTGACAGTTTTTAAAAGTTAATTTTTTGTTCTTTGCAACTCTTGATATAATGCTTGCAGTGGCGGATTCAGACCTTCAGATAAGGGAGGGGGGGGGGAGGGGGTGGGGAGCGGTCTCCAAAATTTGTTTTCGGCCCTTCGGGTCTCAGTTTGGTCTAAAAATAAGGGGGGAGTGCCTGGCCCTCCCCGCCACTGACTTGGGAGACATATTTGACACCGAAGCTGCGACTTTGTCATTAATTCCCAAGTAATTTCTCAAGTTCGACAGAGAATAAGGAAGCAAAGTTGGAATTATCAACAAAATGAATTATAGACAACCGTGACAAAGAAAGCCCCTTTATTTACGACGTGCAATTACAGGAGCCCATTACCCTTGAGGTTCTAATAAGTGCCTCATGCATGGCAGTAGATCTTCCGTCTTTGACTAGATTCCTTTTCCGCCAAATACAATGCATTTCTCACAAGCTCTCAAACAATCCACTAATGCCGGCCCGCAGTTGATCCTCTAGCTAGAGCCTCCACGGTCTTTAGTTCCGAGCTCATTCGCTGATGCCCGACCGCAATCCTACTCAGCTATGGCTGGCTGCAGTCAAAGACGTTTTGGAGCGAAGTACGTCAACCGGAACTGAGATCATTTCCATTTTAACATGCCTTGACGGGTCTTGACGCAGTGTTTGAACTCCTATAGGCACGATTTACCCAAACATTTGGGCGAACCCACCGCCCAGGAAAGTAACAAGTCTACTACAACTGCCACTGCACAAGAATGCAAAAAACTACTTCCGGTTGACGTGGTCGCTCAAAAACGTCTTTGCTTAGCTCCGTACTAATGTATTTTAGCTACGCCTCCCTCGCTCTAGTTTTAATGTGAATGTAATTTTAAACATAAGGACGAATTACCGCGTTCTAGCTGAATTTTTGCTGGAAATGAGAATAAATTCACAGCGAAAGAGTATACAAACCAACCAGTCAGTCCAATGGGTGCCGGGTGCAAAGGCACCTTGGTGAGGTGGCCTGAGAATGGTGACGTATTTCCGGATGTCTCCTCTCCCAGCCAAGACGGAGGCGGCAACCGGAAATACGTCTGCGTTCGTAAAGTACGGTGAATGTCTTGTTTTACCTTTTTTCAGTCCTTTCTTCAAATGTAAATTTTGAGTCACAATTAAATCCTAAATATTGTCTCACTCCGTCTTGACTACCCTACACCCATTTCATTCTAAAAATTATCCACACTTTAAATATTACAGTGCCAAGGATTCCAGCCTCATTGCGGCATTTTCATCCAATAAAATGTTGGCAAGTTTAATAATAACAAAACTGCTAAACTAGACAAGGAATTTGACCGGATTGCGCCCCCAGCTAAAAATGACGCATTTCTCAGACTTTGGCAAGCCAAAAACGATGGTGTAACAAGGTCTTAAACAGGTTATATAACAGAGTTATGGTACCTTAATGTCAAAGCGCTGACAGAACTTTGCTTAACAGGCTTATTGTGGGGTAAAACAAAAAAAAAAACACGCCTATTATATATAAAAACATAATGAATATTGTTATTATATGAGGGTCCCCAAAAGGTTTTTCAGGATCCTAGATTTCCCTTTTTTGAAACTCTGGATTCGGGATTTTAAAGCAAAATGCAGATACGAAGTTTGGGATTGAAATTATGCGCGGGATGTGAGTTTGCAAAAATAAGTTAACCATCAGGATAACGGGATTAAACGAAATTTTGGGCCGGGATTACGGGAATGAAGAACTCTATTGGGAAACCTCAATTATATTTGTCTTCAAAATCTCACTCAGTTACACTAAGTCTGCACTAATCTCATTCAGTTGACGGCCACCTTAAGCCGTATTGCCCAGATACCCTGCTCTGTAATACATACCATTACCTACTATATATCAGTTACACACGTAATATTCCAATTTTCCCTCTGATATTCTAATAATGAACGATTTTGTAAAGCACTTTAGATTAAGAGCGAGTGATAAAAACACCATCTTTCAGTGCTTTTATCGCCCATTTTTATTCTAAAATGCTTTCTGAAAAATTATCCTTTTTAATAATATTTTCTTCATTCCTATTGGTTTTTTTGACTTTTCAGTTATTTTCCTTGTTCATTTGATTAAAAGAGTGCTGAAGTAGTTATGATAGTTTTCATGCCTCTTTTGTAATGGAACGTGGTGTTTAATTGAAAACTTTCACATTTAAAACTTTTTGTGAGTTGTAATTTTGTTATGGTTTATCTTAAAAATGATGATCATAAATACAGAACTAAAAGATTTTTGATCATTCAAAAGATTTTTGGGAAATGTAGTTCTTTAGAGCATGTTTTTCTGCCAGATGGGTTCAAGAAATTTGTCTCTGCTATTTTAGGAACAAAAAAAACTGACAAGAGAGGCCCTCTTAACCCTTTAAGCCCCAAAATCCACATACAAATTCTCCGAACTGATCTCTATACATTTCCTTTAATAATTAGTTAAGAGAATTGATAAAAGATCAAAGTACTTTCTTTTAGGTGATAATTTTATTAATTCTCATAACCTCATCTCATGACAATGTATGGATATCGTTAGGAGAAAATTGCTGTTGGTCACTATTGGGAGTTAAGAGGGTTAAAGGGGTTACATATGTCCCTAGTCTGAATTTCAAAACCTGTTGACCATTTCACATATAAAAGAGGATGCTATGTCATTGTCAGTATTTTACTAATGTATTTCTCTGTTGCTGTCACAGTTTTAACCCATCTTTGTGTTGTTTGTAGCCATTTCTGCTGTCCTACGTCACTGTTTCAAGGCCATGTTGCTTGTCAGAATTTTTACACCAACAGGGCCTCACAATAAAATATCTAAAATGTCCCAGCCTTTTATGCAATTACCTCTTGTATCCAAGATGCTACCATTTCTGCAACCTCTTCTGAAGACTCCAAAACAAACGCATGTTTAAACTTCCTTTCACACAAATAAATTTCACCATCAGGAAACTTTTCTTTCATGTCCTCGTAATACGAGATTGGAGTCCAGTGATCAGTGGCTCCATAATAAAATAGCAGCTTCTTTAAATTTTGTTCTATTACCTAACCGAGAGAGCAACATTAAAGTCATCAATTACAGACATTACAAGCAAGATTAAAGAAATGTTTCTTGTTATTTATTCAATGTACCATTTGCTTTTATCTTTTCCTCTTCCGGTAGTCCAGAACTATGCAATCCACATTTACGCATGCAGTACTAGCCAGCTTTAAGATTGTTTTGAATACCCCAAAAATCTGTACTTAAATCAAGGTCCCCAAAAAATTACTTGCCAAAATTTTCTACCCCAAAACAAAATGGAAAAAACAAAACCCCGAGAAAATACTTCAATCATTCCCATCAATTTAACTCTGGAGTACCCCCAAGTATTTTTTAAGATAAATAAATAAAGATTTTTGGTTTTCTGTGTTAATATAATCATCTGATCTGATTAAAATATATATATATAATTATATAATTTATCTAACTATCATAGGCTCCCACCGTCAGTAGGTGATTCACACAATCAGGCTAATAGCCTGGATGGCAGGCTTTAAAAGGCACCCTTGTGCTTTAGACTACTTTGCCACCACTTGGGCTGGAGTCAATGCTCCCTACATAAGGACAGGGAGCACCAGCGCAAGTGGCAGCGAAGGAGACTGCTGCTCGTACTCTCGTGCCTGTTGAATTCCCCGTTTCCCTTCCTCTTTCAATGCCTACCATGCAGGCTATCAGGCTTACATCCACTGCTCCATTTGAACAACAGTGTTGTTTGTTTTTTGTCCCCTTCAAATTAACAAACAAGGAAATGAAGGGTCTCTTAAAAGACAAACAATAACTACTTGTTTAGTAATAATCAGAGCTTAATTCTAGGGTCTCTCTTCTTTGACAAGTTGGTGACAATAGGGCCATTTATACGAGGAAAAATAAGACACGTCTTACATAAGGCGTGAACTGTACCATTTATACGAGCATGTCTTATCTAAGACAAGAACAGCTCGTAAAAAAGGTTCGCGCCTTATTTCTGTTCTTGACTTGTTTTCGTGTGAATATTGCCCGTAGCAACGGCAATCTAACGTGGTGTGAAAATTAACGCATGTGTACTATGAGTTTGTGTCTTATATAAGACGCGAAGGTCATTTATACAAAGTTTTTCTCTTCTTAGCTAAGATGCGTCTTATCTAAGAACAGGTGTTAAGGGCTGTTCTAAAATAAGACGCGTCTTAGCTAAGCCGTGTCTTATTTTAGACGAAATGTGCCATTTATACGCAAAGTTCGCGTCTTATTTAAGACGCGTCCTATGTAAGATGCGTCTGATTTTTCCTCTTATAAATGGCCCTAATGTCTTTTATCAAGCAAAATTTGGTCACTCTAGATGTCCCATACAGTGTCACTCCACTCTGTATAAGAAGTGTGTTCTTTTATGTCAATTTTTGTATTTATTGCAATTATTGCAATAAATGCAAAAATTTTAAAGCTTTTATGCCACCCAGATTGAAATTGAGGGAAATTCTCCCAAGTCTGCAATTTTTCAATGTATAAAGTGGCTTCAACAAATAATTCATTAAATTATTGCAGTGTAATAATATACTTTGTATGATAGGTACCTCATCATCAAGGTCAACTACCTCCTTCATCTCGTGTTGTGCCATTGTAAAAACACCATCAATTGACTGAGGAGTTAGCAGTTTAAGGATAGACTCCACTGAGCTTAAACTCAGTCGCTTTCTGTCATTCAACCACCAACGCACAAGGAACTCTTTGACAAAAGCAGGCAAAATAGAAAATGCAGCACTTGAGGCAATTGCCAACCACTTAAAATATGTCACCATTGGAGTGACGTATCGTCCACTTGGAGAAATGGCCATTCTCTCAACTGTTGGAAACAGAAGGAATGCTTTGGTGATGTCTGATGCCCTCTGGCAAGTTCTGAGAAGATTTAATATTACATAAGCTCCTATAGAGTGCCCAATAAGTATTATTTTAGAGTGAGTGGAAATGTGGCCCTCAAGGAATTTATTTTTGTGACCAATTTGTTCTTTAAGGCTCAACGGAAGGCTGTTTGCTTCTTTTGTTTCATTGTCATCTACTGACAAGCAATTCTGATCTGGGTTTGCCAAGTAATCTTCTGCTGGTGAATGACCTAATAGGAGGAAAATAAAGCGCAAATTACGTAATTTCAAAAAATATTCATAACAGGCAGAGAGGTTCACAATGTTTTGGAACAGATAATCTGTCATATGTTTTGATTTCAGGGTCCGAAATAATTTCCGGAGTCTTTGGACATAACGACCAGCCAAGTTCATTTTAGCTCGGTCACATATCATTTCTGAACAGTCAAATTCATGATGAATAACTCTTAAAACTCTTAAAACAAGGGTGCATGAACCAAAACTGGCATTATATATTTCCAGAAATTAAAAGATTGTTGCTTAACTAATAGAAGTGAAAATATTTTTAATTTTGTGACTGGAAGTGCGTGAACCCCTATGTCTGCTTCAGTATGCTAATTGTAAACAATGGTTCTAGTCGCATTTCACCCAGGATTTCGGATCAAAGTTCTGCAACACATAGCAACTCGCCACATACTAATAACGACTGAAACAACTGAACAGCATGAAAATTTTAATTTATTTCATTTTCAATACAATCCGGATCGAATGTGGCCGGTCAACATGACTGGCAAGACGAAATGTTCTGACCGGTCAACTAGCCATTATTTCGAGCCATGGATTTTAAAACAGAGGCAGGAAAAAAACTTTTAGATGAGCGCACTACAAAACTCGGGGTCTCATACTTTATAAGAGAAACATGGTTCAGGGAACTTTGTCCACCTGTGATTGAAGTCCAATATCAGGACGTAACACGTCGATAATTCCGATAGTCGATAAAATTCGATTGTTGTGGATCGTTTTCGATACAAATCAATCGACAAATATCGGAAATCGATAAAAGTCGATCACACAATTTCTTGTGATTATCGACTTTGTTCGATTATGATTGATTTTGATCGACTTTGATCGATTTTGATTGATTTCAATCGACAAATACAAAATCGGAAATACAAAAAACGATGTATGGCGGGAAAAAAGAGTACAGTTGCTGAGGACAGATTTAATAAAGCAGCATTGGCTATGCCAAGACTTCATTTTACCGCTCTTGTACTGTAATTGTAAGCTCGTATAAACCTGAATAACCACAGAGAAACTACCCTTTTCTTCCAGTAAAAGTATTTTATTAAGCAAATCATTTCAGATGGAATCTCTGACATTCTCTCTGAAGTATGTGTTTTATAGCAGCTGTTATCACTGTAAGCAATGATTTATGCATATGCATATGTGTTAAACCTAATTAAACTCCTGCGCTTATCAATCAAAACTTCAATTAGTTAAAATTTAATTTCCCAGTATGTTGTTTGGCTCCTATTGTCACTGTAACGATTAAAAGCTGTTATAACCGAACATGATGTAATGTACACAACTGTTAACAAATTCAACTACGCCTGGAATTAATAAACAGTTCTGCTTAGTACCTGTGACTGACGTCGTTTTGGTCTGAACAAGGTTAGATCTAGCGAGATTAACTGTTTGTACACGGGTTCATATTTTCTGATACTGGGCAATCGTAATTCGTTGTATTTTTACTGTCATACGTAGGTTGCGGACTGGTACAACAATCATAGGCGCAAGGAGAAGCAAGGGGCATACAAACCCGGCGAATTTAGCCAACCTAGTGGAGAGAGAGGAGAGTCGTAGCTGCAGCTTGTGTTTGTCAAATGTTGAACTGAGTAAAATCACTGACGAAAATAAAATGCCAATTTACCTTACTTTTTAATTACTTTTCTGGCCTCAATTTTTTCCGGCATCCAGTCTAAACTTTGATCCGTTCTGTTGCCTCTAAGGAACACGACTTCGAGTTCCCAGGATCTCTCATCTCTCCTGCCAAGAGAGACTCTGGGAACTAGGTTGGTACGAGTTATCATTTCTCGAGGTAATTTAAACATTCTATTCTACAATGAATAACAGACCACTTGGTTGTTTAGCTTTATTTACAGAGTTTTACTTTAGAGCTTTTTACACTTTCATAAAAAAGCTGAAAAAAGTCATTCGAGCTATTATTGGTTTGGTTACTTGAATTTCGTAGCTGATTGAAAAATTTGTCGATAAAATCGATAAACAGTTAAAAATCTTGTGATTATCGACTTTTATCGACAAATTTGACTTGTCGATTGACAATTATCGACAAATTTCGAGTACTATTGACTTATCGACTACGTTTTCGATGATCGACTTTGATCGACATGTTACGTCCTGCCAATATGGACTTCAGTTGTTGCTTACTTGCAGATAGTGCATAAAGAAGCGAAAAAAGAGAAAGCTTAAAATAATGATAATAATAATAAGAAGAAATAACAAATATAGAAGAAAAGGAAGAGAGCATTTCTGTCAAAATTTCAATTACTTTAGAAACACCAGCTTTCAATTGGCTGCCTTTCAATCAATGCCTACCTGCATGTGAAATAGCGTACACCGGACTTTGCCCGTGAAGAGAATTGAACAAGGTGGTCACAAAGTCATCATAAAACTCCACCAAACCTGGATTTCCAGGGATCACAACAATTACGTACTTGTTATTACGTTTCTTTGGCAAAATTTTCGATACAACCGTCGGCAAGCCATCAACAATGACAACTTCTTTGACAAGACTTGTCGTGGATATGGCTGCCATCTTTGCAAGTACTAAGAGACTGGGTACCAAAGTAGGTACAAGATATGTTCCCGTACATGACGGATCCACTCTTCAACTGGCTCCCGCTGGACATTTGAGTCAATGGGCTCAAGTGTATTGGACAACATGGCCAAACTATCGGGTTTTACGCAATAGTGTAAGTTTCTTCTTCTTTGCTTAACACCTAAATATCCATATCGTCAAATATTTGACCGGACTATCCATTGGAATTTCATGTATTCAAGCCGCTGGTTGATTATAGTTTGTATCTTGTTGCGCGTTTGTAGGTGGAAGAGGTTGTGCATGTCGAAGTTTAGCTTCGATCCTTCAATCGACAAACTGCTGAACTCCAAATCGCACAGCAATTCTACATGGCCAACACGATTTTCTACCGATCTACCGGCATCTTCAGACGATTGTGGTTATTGAATCCCTCTTGTACAGCCAAGGTTATTCAGGTAACTGAGTAATTGGTTGCTTAATACACACGATTGATTTTGCTGTCATTCAGTCCGTGTTTCCGTGTTACATAACGTAACACATTTCGTAGAAGCTACGAGTTATGCGTTGTTATGTATGATGACAAAAACTTCTTGTATCTCTTTATATCTCTTGGGTAAGATTTGAATTACAGTAGTGAATTAGGGGAGCAACTTCAGACGAGTGATTTTATGCTTTCAACCGGAAAAACTTTAACCCAATATATCAGAGTAATGAAGGATTTTCATCAAATCAATAACAATAAGCAGGGCGTAACACATCGATCGAAATCGATCATCGGAAAGCTAATCGATAAATCGATACTACTCGATATTACTCGATAATAATCAATCGATTAAGCAAATTAATCGATCAAAATCGATAATCACACAAGTTTGAGCATTTGGTATCGATTTCTATCGATTTCGTGAAATTTTCGAAGATTCCACGAGAAAACAACCGCTCATAATCTGCCCCGAGTAAGCCAATTTGATCGAAACAATAGTGTTGAATATATTTACTACAAAGCAAGACTGGCTTAGTGCACCCTGTATTAACTCTGATTAACCATCGCTTTCATCCGCTTTCATACCTAACACCGGCTATTAAACAACGCCGAACAACGGCAACTCTCAGGCGTCAAACTAGCAAACCTCAGCAAACGCATTTTGTCAGCAGCCATCATTTTCGGTTTGAGATTAAATTCTTTGACCCACCGACCCATTCATTCATTCTTCGTTTCGATACCCGCGAGAAGAATATATATGTTCATGTCTTACAGTGTTTCGCAGCGTCAAAAAGGTTAGGAGAGACAAATAAAAGATTGTTCAAACAAACTTCATTAAAATGGAATCTTTTAGCGGGAAACCGGTTGTTTCGCTTAGTAGTTGTTTCGCTAACGAACGTCTTAGGTTAGTTCGCTAACGTATATTCTTCGTTCTATAAGCGTGAACAGTACCTTTTCTTGCCCAATATTATCGATCGAAATCGATACTAATCGAACGAGATCGATACTAATCGAACGAAATCGATACTAATCGAACGAAATCGATCAAATCGATAATCACAAAGAATCTGGCGATCGATTTTTATAGATTTCCGATATTAATCAATTGATTAGTATCGATGTTTATCGATGTTTATCGATTTTGATCGAGTATCGGAATTATCGATGTGTTACGCCCTGCAATAAGTTGATGTGTCAAATTTAAAGCCTAGATAGTTAAGTACGACAGTTGATTCAGACATGAAACAAAACAACTTGTAAGCCAATATGGGTAATAGTTTCTTATAATTAATGCATTATATTTGCCGCAATTGAAATGTTGTGTCTGAATCAAATGCGGAACCAAAGTTGAATGTTGACTGTCTAGTCGCAGATTCCGCAAAGTCGTATTTGATTTAAAACTGTCAGATTTAATTGATTCAGATGTTGCATCTCACATGCAGTTAATTCTTGAATAGAACTTGGCATTTGAAATTTGACATTTGTATTGGGCTTTAAATTGTCAAGCGAAGGTAGTTTAATTAAAATGTTTATCGAATAGTCTTCAAGTTCATTGTCAAGTTCAAAGATCTAGCAAGTGAGGTGATTCAAGTGTTAAAGAACAAGGCACAATGTAAAAAAGAAAAAAAAAGTTTAAAATGTAATAGTCTGTGACCTTGGAGTTGAAAGGAGACTCATAGGTGATGGGTTCCTGGCTGTTGTCAAGAAAAGTTGTGAAACAGGCCCTTCTACTGTCTTTTCAACTTTTGACATGGAGCAGTCAGCAAAAATCCTTTAACACTGCCAGAAAAAGGGTCTGGAAATTAACAAACTTGCCAAGATTAAAAATATATGGCTGAAAACTAATAAGGATAAAGCTTAGCAAAGACACAAATTTTTACAGACATTTGTACCATAGGGTGCAAGTTTGAGCCACCCACCTGATAAATGTCTGTAAAATTTTCTAACTTTGTGAAGCAATGTCTTTGTTTATTTCAAACGTATGACTTTTAAACTTTAAACTATTATTTGAAATTTCCATGGATATTTGCAAACTTAGCCTCATCAAATCTTGAAAAAAAAAAAAACAAACAAACAAACAAACAAAAACAGAACCTACCATTCCCTATACAAAGGTTTTACTTGACTTTTGGCAAAAGATCAATGTGGTGGTTTGTTACCTCAATAGACTCCTGTGAGATGCATAGCTTGTGGCCTGGTACGTTATGGATACGGTTCCAGTGATAAATGGTCTAGATACACATCATTCCATCCCTCCCTTCAGAATGGCAGGTTCCAGTCAACAGCACAGGTATAGCAGAGCCCCGACAACAGCTAGTGCTAATTACTGTGGATCTGAAACAGGCTCTTTGCTGACTGACCCACAAGAAGATGATCTGAATTACTACGGTCTAAACCCTTTTTTTCCTTTCAAAAATCAGCTTGGGTTCATTGATTTTCACTTCCAATGATATTGATAGAGAAGGATGAAGGAGACAACTACACTGTATGCACTCTATTAAAAAAAAAAAAAAACTCAGTCGAGGTCTTAATCATGGCCAGTTTGGTCCAAGTAATGCAGTGGTAATTACAGCTATCATCAAATATTGTTTGACATCTCTCTGAAATATTCTTTTATGACCTCTTCCTCTTAATTTTTCTTTGTGGTTCTATTTAGGGATCAGAGGGCAGTGTTGATGCAATGGAAGAAAAATTGTCGAGTGGAGGAACATTGATAGATAGAGGCATAAAAGTTTTACGAGTAATTGCTGGACCATTGGTGAAAAGAACTGTAAGTGTGATGATATCTGTGTGACTCCATGAATCTTATTCTACTTCTGAAAACAATTTTTGTTGTTGTTATATGTAGTTTATTCAAAGCGGACAGACGTCAAACAATAATTATTATTGTTGCTGTTGCAAATGTCTAACTGTAGTATAGAGCGGTTTTCACTTGACTGTCGTAAAACCAAAACCAAAGTAAATACACTAGCCAACCAAAGGGCGTAGTAAAACCAAAACCAAAACCAAAACCAATCCCTTTCGACACTCAAGTGAAAACCGCTCTATGTTTGAGGCATTGTTTTTATGTTTTATTTATGTGTTCATTGGCTTGTATACAAGTCCAGTGATTTGGTTACAATCAGATTACAAATAGTTATGGTGAGTACTGGGACTAGTACTCATGTAGCGTCCACTCATAGCTGCTTGTAACTGTAAACTTTAATCAGCTGTCTACTTGCTAGTTTGCTTCTAATCTGCGCATAACTTGTATTCATTCCATTCACAAATTGCACGTGAAAGAGAACGATTCGCTGAAATAACAACAACGCGACTATTACAAGATGATATTGACCGAATAAACCGAAATTGCTGTATACTTACAAGTTGTTGTGCCTTCTAATGGCAAGGAAAACTTGTCCTAACGAAACAATTACAGTACAACTCCATAACAAACATGTGCTTTGTGGGAAAGAGCGCCCGCGATATCTTAGTGCGCGGTCACCAAAGACCACACCATATAAGGTTCATTTTCTGTCTCTTACAACTCATCTTGTAAAAAATAATTAGTCCCAGTCCAGAATCAGCGAGTCCCAGTTCAAAATACAATGAACCCTAAATTGAAAATGCTTGGGTCTTTATGAAACCAGACAGTTCATCTAAAGCAGACTCCAAAACTCTGTATTACAGTTTACTGAAATTGGAATATGGTCCTTGTATTTGAAGCACAAAAGAGACTGAAATAAATATATGCATCCTTAAACAACAGCCACATTAAGTGCCACAAAAATAGCACAAACAAGATACAAAAACACTTTCAGATTGTTATCTTCAGATCGATTGATTGATCTTTGCATCCTACATGTATGGGTTGCATGCTATGAATTTTTTTGCTTCTTTGGAGATTTTCATCAGGGTTCGTATGGGTCCTGGAAAACCTGGAAAGTCATGGAAATTTAAAATTTCAAAATCCAGGCCTGGAAAACCTGGAAAATATGTTTTGGTCCTTGAAAGTCCTGGAAAATGAGACTTTTCCTAGGACAGTGAATAAGTTTCTTTTCATTTTCTTCCCTCACATTTTCAAGTTTTTTTGTGGGCGACAGATCGTGTACAATCTTGAAAAATCGTACCTGTTGTTAGTCCCAAAACCTAACAGTTCAGAGTGTGGGCTCTAGCTACCCCTGTGGTTTTACGGGCTCCCCATGTTCGAAAATTTTGTTGTTCGTATCTGGATGAGAATGGTGCCGTTGTTTTGTTCTGTTTTAAATCAAGTCAAAAAGTACTCAAAAGTGTTGTTTCTGGCCCTTGTGATTAAGTTGAATGAACAATGCCTGGGAAGGGTGGCTTTCAAAGAAAACTGGACTTCTCACGTGATATATAAAGACTGGATATTACAAGACTCAAGCTCTCAACACAAAGCACGTTGTCGCTTGTGCCAAAAATCATTGGACTGCTCAAACATGGGGGAATCCGCCCCAGAAGCAGTGCTGTCATCTCTCCCGGATAATCCGGGAGACACCAGATTTTGGACCGTATCTCCCAGTCTCCAGGTTAGAGTATGAAATCCTCCCTGATAATCGCCGAATTTTGCCATTTCTTGTAGAGTCAACTTTCCGACAATAAAATTTCAAATATTTTGCGTTGTTTGAGTTATTTTTATACTGTTAACATCGAGCGTTTCCTTGTGATCTCCGGTATGCCATTATACTATAAGCAATAATGTGATTGGTGGGAAGAAAACTGATCAAGTCAAATGTTGTGCAACAACATCTTTTTCGCGCGTTTTGTGTCATCGCAAATTCGGGGCGATCGGAGTCAACAGTATCTTTTGCACAAATGACGTCATGTGCCATTCGTTATGACATCGTCTATCATCCCTTTGCTATCAATTCTCAATATTTGAAGACGTGGGGGGGTCGACAGCCCTGCAGAAGTCACAGGAGAGGGAGTAAGCACACAGAATTAGCAGCATTAATAACTGAGCGGTCAGTGCCAATTACCCAGTTTATGTCTTCAAAGGCAGCATCTTCATCTAGCTCTGACAAACCTGGTCCTTTGATGTCTTGTGGCTTACATTCAAGCCCTTCAGTACGTGATGCAAGTGCTGAAACACTAAGCTCATCTGCTTCTCTTAAACAAACGGTCGAAAAACAGTCGAAAACCGGTCAGTAAGTAGCACAGTCAAAACGTCGTCAGAGTTCCTCAAAACGAAAACTTGAAGAAGCTTCTAAAATCGACAGCGAAATAGACCAGAAGCTGCAGACTCTTGCAGAAACGCAGCAAAAATGCTACATAGTTTGTTGGTTTAATTGTTTGGATTGTTTCACTTTTCCTGGCTATTACTGGTCCTGGATTTTTGTAAATATGGTCCTTGAAAGTCCTGGAAAAGTCCTGGAATTTTGATGGACCATTGGTGTACGAACCCTGTTTCATGCATTAGGGTTGCAGGAAGCAGGGGTACCAAAATCACTGCAAGTCACTGATTTTAGGACTAACTTTAAGAACCAAGTGGTTTTTGAGTTCACTTCTTGTATATTTCCTACCAGGTTTTAGTAGGCAGTGCAAGAACCATGTATGAGTGTTGTGTTGAAGGAATGAAGTTTGAAGAATTCTTTGACGGTGAGGTTGCTCATACTATTGCTGGCATGATGCATGTGTACTTTATTCCTTTACAACATAACCTTCTAACTGCTGGGGTAGTGCAATTGAATAAGCACCAATCTGCTGTGCAAAAGGCCACCGGTTGAAACTCCTGCCATACCAACACACCGGGTCCTTATATAACTGAGGAGAAAGTGCTGCCTTTATAATGATATCTGCAGACGGTTAAACTTTCTAGTCTTCTGGGATAAAGACAATAAACTGTAGGCCCCATCTCACAACCTTTACACATTATACTGAGGGACAAGAAAGAACCCTCACACTGTTCGTAAAGAGTCGGGAACATAGTCCCCAGTGTAGTGGTCTATCACAAATTTACACGTACATGGGGTGGGGGGGATCATTACCCATTACTTCATTACTTGTAAACTGCATGACATGCCGTCTGACATAAGTCCCCCAGCCAGTGTTGTAAATTATTCTTCTACAGCCTTGGGGGGAATGGATAGCAAGGTAATTGCAATTTACAATAACACTCTGCTATCATGGCGTGAACTTTATTACTGCAGGTTTTGTTTTTATTCACAAGAGATATAATGAATAGTCATACATTTTATTAACATTATGCTAGGCAGACTTAGTGTCAGAAGAGAAGAGTTTAACCTCCCTTAAAAATGTTCCCGCGTTGTTTGTCTCTTCCTACTGAAAAGTATTTTAACCCTTTAAGTCCCAATATCAACATGCAAATTCTCCAAACTGATCTCCATACATTTCCTTTAAGAATTAGTTGAGAGAATTTAATGTAAGATCAAAGCATTTTCTCTTTGGTAATCTTTGTTAATTCTCATAACCTTATCTCTTGACAATGTATGGATATTGTTAGGAGAAAATTGATGTTGGTCACTATTGGGACTTAAAGAGTTAATAGGGTCATTTACAGAATTGTATGATACATCCGGATACCAGATAACTTTACTCCACAGGAACGATTCATGATTATTGTGGCTGATTGTTTAATATGACAGAAATAAATATTTTACAGGCATAAAGTAATAAGATAGTATTGGTCTTAATTAAATTGTATGTGGGTTCTTATGGTCAACATAAAGATGTTTACATGTATGATGTTGATTATAGTGATGACATTTGTGATGATGATGGCGATGAAAATGTTCAAAATTTTAAATTACACTAATTAAGTTTTAGATGCTGTTGTAATCTTGAAAACGTGAGCATGTATTTGTAACCATTATTTTTTGTGTATAACTGTTTATGCTTTGTTCCATAGATTGTGAATTGCCAGATACATTCCAGTCATGGTTTATCATCCTTCATCTTCACATATGGTAAGTTAGTCTTCCATTTTACAGGTTATACTGTAATAATCAACTCCTAAGGGCTCAAAACAAGTACCATCCAGTAATGTGGGACAAGTGGATGTTTTAAGCTTACACAAATGTACTTGCCCAATGAGCAAGGGTACATGTACAGACAAGTCATCCTCTTGCTAACAAAATCATTAAAAAAGAGGAGCAAAAAAGTGGTCCAGGCAAGGAAAATGTGAGGGCTGCTAACCCAAAGGTCAAGCTGCAATTCAAGTTTCTTTTTCTAGCCCTGCTATTGAATCACATCATAAAACACTTTTGCTCTTTTTTTTGTCTTGTTGTGTGATTTTTTTCCTGCTTGTCTTGAAGGATGTGCTTGGTGCGGCTGAAGGCTGAAGGCAAGGATGGTCGCTACATGTACAGAAAACTTGTTGAAATGATGTGGCATGATGTCGAGGAAAGGATGAAGAATCTTGGGGTATGGATGAAATGAAGCCAGCTTCAGCAAGCTCTCTAGCTCTTGCCGTGCCTCTAAGCCCCTGAGAGGTTCTAGAGAGTTTGTTCGCTGTCTTGACGGAAAGTTCTGACTACTCTTTATGAACTAGTAATATGCCTGTGTCACAGAAACTTGCAAAGCTCAGGGGAGGGTGGTCCATAAAATACCAGGAATGGAAGGGCGGCAAAGAACTGGAGTCAGGCGTAACTGAGATATAATCCATCTCCTTGTGGTTGGAGCAAATTAAAACCCAGTTTTCTGGTTTTAAAAAGGAGTAAATAAAAATGCTTATTTCTGTTGAGTCAAATATTGAAAAAAGTCCACTCCTTTTGTTCTTTTATCATTCATTCTTTTAATCTACATGTAAATGTTTTTTATCTGTAGTGATGACAACTGGCATGATCTCGGGTCTTAGGCCATGCCCATTAAGTAAATCTAAGAGAGAATAACTGGACAGAGAAGAAAATTCCCAGTGTAACCCTTGCGATACTGTATATGAGTTTCACTAAGTTATTCTTAGACCAATAATATTATTACAGCGTAAATGCTTGAAATAATCAGAAGTCGCTTTCTGGATAGCCCTGCAAACTTTTATTCAGTGTTGTCAAGAAATAATTCAATAGTGGCCATTACAATGTTCTGCATTGTTTGCTTTGAGGTAGTCCCACGTGGACTTGATGACGTTTCAAACAATCGGTTAAAATGTGCCAACGTCTCAGGAGTTTGACTTTCATTTAATAAATGTTCAATCTCTCAAAATAACTTTTTTAGTGAAATTCATATATCCCGGCTAATGCTCTAAGATTAGTGCCTCTTTGTCTCATTTTTCTTTCTTGGCGGTTTTGTTGCCCATTGTGGAAACGAAACTCGCTGTTGACTGGTGGCCCAAACCAGTTTCTACGTTGGTAACAGGTTGGGTTTTTTTATATAAACAAGTATCTTTCTTCTTCTCTTGCAGAAAATTGATAGTGTTGCTGTAAGAGATAATTTACGAGTGTTGACCAAACAGTTTTATGGACTGACAATAGCATTTGATGAGGTAAGATGCCAAATAATTGCGTAATTTAAGTCCAGAAAATGTACTTTCCAAGTATAAGACATCATATGTAATGTAAAACAAGTGAAACTGTTTCTTAGCATACACAATAGTACATTGTGAGGGGGTTGGGGGGCGGGAAAGGGTAGGGGTCCAAATCTCCCGCCTCCCATGCCTTGCATTCTCAGTTTCCGCCTCGTTTTCTTTACCCTGGGTACCAGAGGTTTTTCTCGCCTGCGGCGGGAATTTTCGATGTTGGCCGAAGGCCGACACATCTTCGGCTGTAGGCCGAAGCCGCGAGAAAAACTTTTCGCGCGGGTCACTATAAAGACTTGACAGAAACCGGAAACCGCGCTAGAAAAGTCTCTGGCACCCAGGGTACGTTTTCTTGGCTTCCTCCCTTTCACCCTTTTATTAAGCAATGTTGCGTAATAGGCCATTTCCGAGTTGCTCCAAGGCAGGCTTAACGCGAAGCCATTGATATCAAAATGATTTTTTTTTATTCTCGTGCATGTGAAACTGATGATCGCAAGAAAGATTTTGCACTCGTTTTGAAGGCGAGGGTTTTTTGAACTTGGAAGTGGCCTGTTTCCCCTAACTTCTTCCGCTTTCTGCCGTTTAAGAATTCCCCCTGTTCCGCTCTTTCCTCTCTCAAGAATGGGTTGGAATAGTTATTAATACCATAATTACTTTTTCAGGGACTTTTGTGTGATGATAACGTCCTAGCTGCAGCATTATGGAGGTACAATACGGCGTTCCTGTATTAAATAAACGTGCAACATTCAATATATAATTCCTTCTCCCTAAATATCCATCCTTAGGGTGTTTGGACCACGACGGCAGTGAAGACTTCACTGACAAAGTGTAATCGCGGTATTAATTGCAGACGCAATCGTGATGTTTTTAACTCGCTAGATTTGTTGTCAAGTGTTGACGAGTTTTCTTTGTTTATTCATGTCTTCCAAGAGACCGTCACAAACAGTGCGACGCTTGTTTAGAGTTGTTGTTTTGCTTTTTGTATTTTGTTTGCTGTCGTCGTCGCCGTCTTTGCGTAAACTCCTCATTGTCAAGAATAGCCTGCAAGCAAACTCTTTATCTGAGTGGCGAGCAAAGCGTTCCGCAAGAGAATGCACAAGCGAGCGACGGAGCCGCGAGGGGCAGGGAAGAAGGAGAGAGCTGTCTTTCTTTCCCGCTCTCGCGTCTACTTGCGCGTATCGTTTTGTAGCATCACTTATTTTACCTCGCCCGTTGATTTGTTTTTACTCACTTTTTCGGCTCGCCTTGTGTATCTTTCTGATAGTTTTAGAACAGGCCGCGGTCGCGGCAGATAACACTGTCCTCGATCTGAATAATTCTTCATACTTGTGTTTCTTACGAACGAAGGGAATCCAGTAATTGATAATTCCTCTTACTAATTGTTATTATTTTTTGTTTTAGGAATTTCTTTCATAACAAAAAACAAACCGATGCTGAAGTACTGGCTCGAATGGTAGAATACGTCAGAAAAAATGTGCAGCATTTGGAAACCTACAGCAGAGACCATCTTCTGTTTCAAAGCGGAAAATTTACCTGGCTACCTTTCAATGAAATACATGAAGACCAGGAGGAGGAGAAAGAACAAAGATGTTGACAGAAACGTTAGAACTTTACTCAAGAACGTTGTGACTCAAGAATTATTTTTCAAACGTTGAAAAGCTTATTTAAAGCCTTCAGTAATACAGCTGTAATATAGCTCTTTCACTTTTTGACGGATAGGATGTCGGTAAGAACTCATTGTATAGATTCAAATTTCAGTGACAGGAAAAAAAAAATCTGAATTTTGAAGCCCAAAGTTTTGATCCCGTGCTCAGCGTTCTCCGTTTCCAGAATCAATAATTCGCTACATTCTGACGGGATGCACTTTATGCACTTTTTATTTGAGTGTCAATGTATTTAGCACGAAAGTACTAATTGGGGACACTATATTTTACGTCTCCAACTGGACACGGGACCGCCATTTTACGTGGTCATGCGAGCCTCGCGAAGGTCTAGCCTGTTGCAGTGCAAAGGGAGTACCCTCATTTCTCGGTTATTTTAAGACCCTGAGTATTGGTCCGGCCCCAGGAATCGAACCCGCGACCTCCCGCTCTGCAGTCAACACGCTCTACCGACTGAGCTAACACTTCCGCGGATATTAATTTATTTCATCCTTAGATGAGTACGATCCTCCTCAGGAATCAGAATTAGGAAAATTTCTGTTTGCGTCTTGAAAAAGCCGAAAAGGAGTTCCATTGTCAATGACGGAAATGACAAGGAGGAATTCAGTTTCTGTCGAATGGAAAGTGACCCGAGTCAATTTTGTTTTGATGGTAGATCCAGGACCGAGGACCTAAAAACGTTTATGGTGGTCACTTTTAACCTGTGATTCCGTTGAAAAAGTTGTTTACTTTCGTACGGACACAGTTAAACAACTTTGCATTTTGATGAGATAATCGATCTTCTTCCGTACGATTTTGAATCGAGGCTCAATTCGGTCCTGAGGCCCGTTTCTTGAAATCCCCAATAACTTTTCGGGCCCAAAAACCTGTTTTATGTTTGTCGTGTTTGCATTCAAGATCAATAATTTTGAAAATGATACAATGAAACTATC